CTTACCTGGCTGCTTCTTGCTCTGAGGGCTGCTGGGAGCAGGGGGTGGGGCTTGTTGCATGTGCCCGCCCCCTGGGCTCTTTACTGCCAGAGCTCCGCTTCTGTGCGCTCCTGCAGGAAATGACCCGATTATTATATATATATATATAGATAACAATAATAAAGCCTTAACCAACAATAAGAACATATAATTCAACGTCACTACATCTGTGATTCCTTATTACTTAGCTGACAGTTAAACACTATAATTTTCAGTGTAAAGTCAAAAGAGAAAGTTTCATGTGCTGTAAAACATTAGTTTGTTTGACATTTCTACTTATATTTTTACCCACAAAATGCAACCATTTCTTCATAAAGTTTGACTTTGAGCCTATAACACGAGTTTCTCCTATATCATATGTCAGCTTGTCCAAAACAAAATATTCCCAAACTTTAAGTAACCATGACTGAATAGTTGGGGGTTCTCCTTCCTTCCATTTCAATGCTATCACATTTTTAGCTGCTGTAAACATGATTGAAATCAGATCTTGATTATGCGGCCCGCGAGTGACTGATTACCTTTACTGGCAGATGGCAGAGGAGGCTGTGCATTATGTCCCCGTATACTGCCCCAGTGCTAATGCGTAACGGGCAGTGTCAGGGAGATATTGTAAGGAAATGCATGTTTTAAACATAGAGTCAGGTCTTAAGAGCTGCCACTGGACTCAAACTATGTTTTAAGCATGTTTGAGTAAAAATAATATTGTTAATTGGGTTTGCCTGTGTCCTTTATAAAGTTTGTTATTTCCGGTACCTGGCATTACATTTTATGGCACGCATGGCCCGTAATGGCCTGACAAAGTGACCTGGGTCCTTTCTGCACTTGGATTTCATCCCTGGTTTTATCAGAGTTCAACTCGCGACACAATACTTTGCATTTATCCCTAGTTATAACAGCATCTGTTTATCCCGGAACAAGTGTGGGGTGAAACCGGGGTGACCTCAGTGTAATGTGGAAACAAAAAATACCCCGATATAATTACAGGGGTGAACTCACGTGTCGTGTAGAATGCAGGTTTGGGGACAGGGTTGAACCAGGATTTAAGGTCTAGTGCGGAAAGGACCATATATGTCAGATCTGGCCCTCATAACAAATTAGTTTGATACTTCTGGTCTGTAGGATTACTCTGATTTATTTGGTAAGTTATATCATTGCAAGGTTTCCACTTTTTGTGCAAAAAATTTTTTTTGACACTAATGTGATTTGGATTGTTCTCCATTGCCTGTAAAGGCCCTCCTTTCACACCTTCAGTTTGCCTCTTAAAGGCAGTGGTTCTCAAACCTGAAGCAGTTATCAGGACACACTTGTTAAATGCCCTCCTATGACTTTCCTCCTGTGTCATATAAAACACAGGAATCACACGTCGGTTATCAATGAGCAGTTTTGTAAAGTATTGTTCTTATTTAGTACTTATCAGGGGTCATTTCCTAGAAAATGAGGAGCAGGAGCTCATTTGCATATGCCACACCCCTGACAAAGGGCAGGCATGTTTAAAATGAGTTAAGGCATATATAAATGAGTTTAAATCCCCCCCCCTTCCGTGAGTGTTATGTAGTGGGTAGCCGCATGGATGAACAACAGACAACGACGTGGTGCATAGCACGCTTTATTAGCACACAACAAAGACAAGAGATAAACGGCCGGCAGGCCAACTATATACACACCTGGGGACCGCCCCTGGTCACCATTGGTGGGTTCAAATCTCCCGCCACGGATCCCATTGGTTCCCCAGAGGAGGGACTAGGATCCTAGTCCCTATTGTTGTTCGGACTGAAGCTAGGGCATATGCGCTGACCTCCGGTGGCGGTCCGCGGACACTACACCCCTCCCCCCATAGTCCGGACCTTGCCCCTATGAAACATAGTCTTTCAGGTACGCTGGAGGCTGACGTTATGACTTTCCTCCTGTGTCATATAAAACACAGGAATCACACGTCGGTTATCAATGAGCAGTTTTGTAAAGTATTGTTCTTATTTAGTACTTATCAGGGGTCATTTCCTAGAAAATGAGGAGCAGGAGCTCATTTGCATATGCCACACCCCTGACAAAGGGCAGGCATGTTTAAAATGAGTTAAGGCATATATAAATGAGTTTAAATCCCCCCCCCTTCCCTGAGTCTCTCCACTTTTGTGGCGGGCTGGCTGGGGAAGGGAAGGGCAGGGAGGCAGAAACCTAAGCTTTCGTGTCCATACACACTTCTTCAGATATCTGTGAAGAAAAGTTAGACTGAGAGTGACTGGCCCAAGATTGTAAGTTTAATGGCAAGTGGGGATTTAAATCGAGGTGGTCCTACACAAAATCTCTAATAACTACAGCACACTGGCTCTCGTATGTAAATGGAGAATGTTTTCGTGTCTTCAAAGTACAGAGAAGTCAGCACATTAGAGATGATTTCTCATCATTGAAACATTACCCAGTTGGGGAACCTTTAAGGGTTTTAGTGGCTATCAAACCATACAGCCATTGCAGACCAAAGCGGCACCTGCGAACTGTTCTTAAAGTTTTCCAAAGGTGCTCTTATTGTATTCACTGTTGTCTGTACAATTTACACCCCTATAAATGTTTTATGCCCACCATTTCCTGACAGACAGACAATGCGTCTATCAAGTTAAATGCGACAGCCATCTTAAGAGAAGGTGTCCTGTATCAACGAAAAATGGAACAGGAATTGAACAGGTACTCATGGCTTGATTTTTATTCTTATTTTACTTTGCCTGATTAAGTGTTTCTTCAAAACGGAATGAAATTTTTGTGTCTGTTTTTACCGCTGAAAATACGGGGCACGTACCCATGCTGGCACTACTGTCTTCAGGAAGGGTGTCTGGAAAAATGAGTCAGACTTTATTGATCTGCTCCTTCACTGCACTGGGTGGGTATTGCAATCCAAGGATTGCTTTTTTGTAAATCCTGCAGGTGAGAGTTCCGGTCCGAGGGGTCAGGACAAAGGCAACCGTTACGCAGTACTTGATAGAACAAAGTTTGAGTCCGGTGGCATGCACACGGAAGCTTATTCCCGGGATTGAATTTCGTGGGTCTTAAAGGTGCCACCGGACTCAGTCTTTTGTTCTGCTGCTTCAGACTAACACAGCTACCCTCCTGAATCTACTTTCACGTAAGGCAACACTTGATAAGTAGACTAAGGACTAGCTGTTGTAGACTTTCTGAGTTGTCTGGCCGCGGTCTTGGCTTTGTAGGACCTGACGTTTCAATGCCAAGACCACGGCCAGACAACCCAGAAAATCTACAACAGCTAATGAACTCCGTCCGTGAAAGCCTTAGACTAAGGACTGCTTTATATGTTCCGGACGGTAGCCGGAAGCATGCAGTCACGTCTGACGGTCAGCGGGTTTTCGTTATAAGGCCTTGCTTGTGCACTCCACAATTAGTGTCCAGGAATTGTGCTTGTGTGGTTGCTGTTGGGACGAAATGGGTTGACATTTCAGTAGAATCTCTTGAGCATTTTCCTTCCCATGTGTCCAGATGATGGAAATATCATCAATGGTGAGGTTGCTGTTGGGATGAAATGTGTTGACATTTCAGTAGGATCTCTTGAGTGTTTTCCTTCCCATGTGTCCAGATGATGGAAATATCATCAATAAATCCTAGATACAGGACAGGAGTTAATGGAAAGAAGCTGCCAGAGGCGTTGTATATAGTACAAAATTATATAAGTCAGACAGGAAGAATGTTTGAATTCTGTGGTGAAGCTCCTGATGGTTTGTAGCCCATCTTTGTGGGGGATGTTGGTGGTATATAGAGACCATAGACTGCCGTTTCCTCAAGAAGTCAGTTGTGTCTCTTAAGTAACTGGGGATGCAGATGGCATCGTCTGAAAGTGGAGTCTATATTGCCAGGACACCCCCACCTCCCCAGCAATAGAGCCAAAGCCTGGTTGGGAAGATGGAGTTTGACCATCTGTGCACTATTTAAGTGCTGTTGTGGCAGAACTCTTTCACACACAGACAGCGGAAATAGGCCTCCGGATCACAATAACACAGATGGTACAACATTGGCTAGTTAGCTGCTCTCTCCATTTCTCCCTCTAGCAACTGGCATACCGATGTACTCTGTATATTTAATCGTCATGTGTAAGGATGGTCGATAAATGTATTTCTTAGTAATTTACCTAAAGATGACCAAGCTAGGGGCCATCACCGTGTCTTATGGCAGTAAACTTCATGTCCGGCGTCCTGAACTTAGTAGTGGAAAGTTTTGTCAAGTTGCAGCGGACTTCCGATGACCCCTCGTGGGGGTTTCAAGGCCAGAGACGTTCAGAGGTGGTTTGCTGTTGCCTGACTCGGTGTAGCAACCCTCGGTGGTCTCCCATCCAAATGCTAACCAGGGCCGACCCTGCTTAGCTTCTGATATCGGATCAGATCAGATTAGCCTGGGCCATTCGAGTCAGGGTGTTCTGAACTTACTCCAGGCAATTTAATTGTATGACTCAAAGTTCAAATACAAAGAGCGACTAGGAAAAATAGGGTGGTGGGTGGGTTGTTTTTTTGTTTTGTTTTTTGTAAAGCACTGCATCCCCTTGATCTGTATATTTCCCAGTGTTCCCTCTCAGCTGAGTTAGTGTGAGCTAGTTCACAGTTTTTTAGCCTGCAGCTCACACATTTTTTGTCTCAGCTCAGGAAGGAGGGCTCCAGAGCAAACTCATTTGACTAGGAAAAATAGGGTGGTGGGTGGTGTTTTTTTTTGTAAACTGGTGCTTTAACTTTCTGTAGAGAAAAGCCCTGCATCCCCTTGATCATGCTTTAGTCTGTATATTTCCCAGCGTTCCCTCTCAGCTGAGTTAGTCTGAGCTAGTTCACAGTTTTTTAGCCTCCAGATCACAGAATTTTTGTCTGAGCGCGGGAAGGAGGGCTCCAGAGCAAACTAATTTATGCAGTGGACAAACCACTCGCTCACAACTTTAATGCCAGCAGCTCACAAAGGAGAAATTTTGCTCACAAGACTCTGCAGCTTAGAGGGAGCATTGGTGCTGTGCCGGGGTCATTTTGTAGAAAAAGAGGTGCAGGAGCGCATTAGCATAACTTATTTGCATATGCCACACACCCTGACATCACCAGAAGTGTGTCAGAAGGCAACACCCACTGCAACTTACCTGGCTGCTTCTTGCTCCTTGTGGCCCGACTGAGGGCTGCTGGGAGCAGGGGGTGGGGTGGGGCTTGTTGCATGTGCCCGCCCCCTGGGCTCTTTACTGCCGGAGCTCTGCTCCTGTGCGCTACTGCAGGAAATGACCCCTGGTGCTGTGGTATCCTTTGTGAAATAAGGTAACCAGACGGGTTAGGTTGGGGCAGGCCATGACTCAGTGGTGGAGCCTCCACTTGGTATGCAGAAAATCCCAGGTTCAGTCCTCGGCATCTCCAGTCCGATCAGATGGTCGGTGACATGAAAACCTCTGCCTGAGGCCCTGACTGACTTTGCTGGGCCAAGGGTCTGCTTCAGTATAAGGTAGCTTCATGTGACAAGATTTACAGAAAGGTTAAAAAGACAGACCACGTTTGGTGTAGTGCTTAAGTGTGCGGACTCTAGTCTGGGAGAACCGGGTTTGATTCCCCACTGCTCCACATGCAGCTGCTGGATGACCTTGGGCAAGCCATAGTTCTGTCAGAGCTGTTTTCTCAAGGACAGTTCTGTCCAGAGCTCTCTCAGCCCCACCTACCTCACTGTCTGTTGTGGGGAGGGGAGGGGAAGGGGAAAGAATTTGTAAGCCACTCCGAAAGGGGAAAGAATTTGTAAGCCACTCTAATCTCTTCTTCTTCTTCAAACCCTTCCCTAATAATTCTGAACACGGACGTTGCCCTCTTCGTTTCTGCTGCACACTTAGAGTTCGTATTTTCAGTGAGCTCCCCACTGTGACCCCAAGATCTTTCCACGGTTGCCCCAGCCAATTCGGGCCTCCATTTTCTGAGGGCTAGCATCTTTTGGTGTAGGTACCATGCACAACAGCAGGGCAGGTATAATCCAGTCCCTCAAGCCATCCATTTCCTTTCCGACGACAGACTCGAACATCTCCTGCGAGGAGCTCGGGATCCATCTGAATTCCTAGACTGGCAGAAGCAGATGCGTGAGAATGACCTGCGTCAGCAGCTGGCGGAAGCAGAGTGTCGGAGGCTGCAAGGGAAGCTGAGCTACGAGGAGGCCATTCTGGCCCATCAGAACTGTGCTCAGAAAAACCAGGAAAGGGCCGAACAGGAGAGGTTAGAGGTACTACGTTAAGACGTTATTCAAATCAGAATTGGGCATCGTTTCC